AGTCCCTCAGGGAGTTTGGATGTGTCTATGGAGCTTCCGTAACCTTTCCTTGCACAAGCTGTGCTGGTTTCCCCAGTATTGTGTACTGTCTCACCCTTCACCCAAGATACCGCTTATCTATTATCGTAAGGCCTATCTTTTATCTTGATGCTTTCTATCTTACATCACATGGAAATATTATTAAGCAGAGAAATGCGAATAGTACTGGGTCAGATGGGAGGAAGAGCCAGAAGCTGCCAGTCTGAACTGTCCAGCCTACTTGTACTGTCTGTTATGTTGATTAACCAGATGGTTGATTCTGAGCAGTTTTTTGTTTTTTTTTTTTTTTTTTAAACACATTTTCTCAAAGATCCATAGTGGATAGATGTTTCTTATGAGTTTAGGAAAGGTCCTTTAAAATCTCTTGGAAAGATTGATAAGGGTTAACATTAGAAGAATTTTCTACTAAACCTCAATTATTTAGAAGATTTGGGTAGAGCGTACGTTTCTCTGGTACCTAGTTGACATTGACTTCATTGCCTAATACACAGTAGCAGTAGGTATGTTAACACTATCAGGTTACATAGATATCACCCTTATGAAAGATTTGAAAATTCTGTTTTTTATTAGTAAATAAAAACATTTGAACAACTGATGTTTCTAGAATCTAGACCACAATGAAAGGAATCTCATTCCAACCTTTAAACATGCTTAAATTTGTATTTTTCTTTTATGTAAACTTGCACTAGACAAACTTACCCATAACCTAGCAACTGGTTGATTCATCCCACTGAATGAAAAATGTTTACCAAGTTGGCCTAATCTCCTCTACAAATTTGCATCATAATTTCTTGTCATTATTAAAAGTGCAAATGGCTAATGGATTCTGCTCCTTCCTCCAGGTTTATTTCAATCTACAGAGGACCCAGCCACACCTACAAGGTCCAGAGGCTGACGGAGTTCACGTGCTACTCCTTCAGAATCCAGGCAGCAAGTGATGCTGGAGAAGGGCCCTTCTCAGAAACCTACACCTTCAGCACAACCAAAAGTATCCCCCCGACCATCAAAGGTGCGTAGACAGTGTGTTCTGTCACGCTTTTCTTTGACAGTAAGGGAATTGTTGAGGCTCATTTTTGACCTTAAATAGACTCATCTAATATATACTCTTCTAATATTTATAATATCAGCAAGAGAAATCAAAACATTTTAAAAAGAAGGTTGGAAATAGATTGTCTGGGGGAATGAGAGGCCTTAAACGACTTTTCTCAAATATGTATAAAGGGTTATTACAAGTAATGTAATAGCCAGATACTCATGTCCCCATAGGAGATAGATGGACAAAGCAACAGGCCTGATGACAGAGCTTGGGTTTCAAAATAAAGGTGAATTCCTGGGGTTAAGCACTAACGACAGTTTACTAAGGAAGATTTGAGAATCTTCTTTCCCAAAGACATTTGGGAGGAGCCGAGGCTGTCATTCATCATTGGATGACTTTGATGCCTAGAAATTGGGGATTGATGTAAGCACGTCCTGGCCTGTGACTACAGGTGTGGAGAGATGCCTTTGGAAAGCAGCAGCAGCAGCAGCAGCCTGGTCTTATCTCCTTGAGTATATGCTTTGAGGCTTGTGAGACTAGTTTTACTACTCTGCCTCATTTCATGGGATCAGGAAAAGCACGAGACCCCAGTCTTCTCCCATATCTCTCTGAGGAAGTGAACAAAAACTGCTCTGCCAAGACCCACCCTCCACTGGATCTACTGAGCCCTCATTCCCCCAGGTTCTCCCACAGAGTTAGCCCTGTCTGTCTACGCAGCAGACTCACAAGGCAGGGCCTTCAACAGGGGCTTGAAGCTTGCTTGGCACATCCCACCCCGTGTTAGGCCTGGCTCCCAGCCCTCTGGTGGACTCCCGAGGCTCTGCCCCTGTTCCCTCCAGATCTCATGGTTCTTGTGGAAGTTCTTGCTGCATGTCTTTAGGTGAGCTGGTGGCACTCATGATTTCATCTAGCTGCTGCTCAGAGTTACCCTGTAGCTAACAGATAGACAAGCAGCCCACCTGACCCAGGTTTTACAGGGATAAAAGTAAGGGTTTGCTGTATTATTTGGGTGGCTAATGCGGTGAGCACACCTGTAGAACAGGTCCTAAATGTTTGACCCCAGGAGCAAGGCCATTTGATTCACTGCTTCCACATGGAGGAGCTAAGTCAGCTACCCCTGGGGCAGCAGAGTCAATTAAAAGAGGTTGAGGGGACTCCAGGACCTGAGTCAGGTCTGGCTTGCATTCTGTAAGGGTTTCTTGTAGCTTCTACCAGGGCTAGTCTGTGATAAATTCCTTCTTCCCTGCCCTTCAGCTCCAGCTGCAGTTTTAACAAGCTTCCAGGTGATATTGATGTTGCTAGCCCATGGACCATAATTTGAGTAACAAGGCAATATAGATCACATGATAAACCCATGCAGGAGAAACATAATTGGAATATAGCCAGTGCTTGGCACTTGCTTCTCTATGTGACTTAAGAAACTAGTACAGATATATGTATACATGCAAGGCCTTACTTTGGCAGTAGTTGCCCTGACCCTTGGATAGAGCTTAAAGTTTCTGCTATATCAGAAGAGATTCCTGAATATGCTATGGTTGCTTGGTTTGTTGGTAACAAGAAAGCTTTGCCACATTTACCAGTTAGCAAACTTCAAGGGTCTTTCTGGTATAGAGAAGCCGTAACTTTGTCTTTCAAAGTGGTTTTTGGTGCGGATTCATTCTTTGTGGTAACTAGAACACTTTAGTTTTGATAGCACTTCCATTTCATGGTTCTTTTATTTCAGAAGGACAGTGTCCTTACACTACCACTTGACCTGGTCTTTTTCCTCTCATTTCTACATTCAGGAAGTTATTGCCCTTAGCTCAAGTCCTGTTTAGTCTGAAAAGGTTCCTTATTTAGTTTTTCCATAAATTGTTTGGAGTTTTCGCCAAATAATTCCAACAGACTGATTTTTTTTAAAGGAAAACGGTTATTTTTCTGTAACAGTATCCTGCAGAGAGTTACAAGTAGAAACAACTATTCCTATAGAATTAATTTTATGTAATTAGGAATTCAAATAAACAAAAAAATGCAACTATAAGGGGGACAATGCAGAACAGAATTTCAGATTCTCTTAGACTCTAGACTTTCCAGAGCGATGGAGGGTGGGTGAGCCCCTAAAACTATTCCTTGAGATAATCTTTAAACCTTAAACCAAAAATACCCCCTGAAGTCATCTTAAAACCGAACAGTAGTTTATCTTAACTAGTAAAGGTCTGCCTTGAGCTTTATGCTCTTTTAAGAACTACCTATATGGGATCAAATTGACATAGCAACTTAAAAGATTAGAAAGAACCTTAGGGGGCATTGAGTTTATGTTAATGAAGGAGGAACAACTCAGAAAAGGAGGGTGAGAATGGTTGCACAACTTAAAGTATGTAATCAATGTCACTAAATTGTACATGTGGAAACTGTTGAATTGGTGCATGTTTTGCTGTGTATATTCTCAACAACAACAACAAAATAAGTAAAATCTAGGGAAAAAAACTTACAAGAATTAAAGGGAAATAACAGAAGCATATAGGAGAATGTCTGATACGTTCTCAGTAGGTACTCAAGGATGGTGAAACTTCATCTTGCTTACTTTGGACACATTATTTGGAAGAAGCCATCCCTAGAAAAGGATATCTTGTTTGATAAAGTAGAGGGTCAGCAAAAATGAAGATACCTCTCAATGAGATAGATTGATACAACAATGAGCTCAAGCATATCAAAGATCATGGAGATGCGGGACCTGGCAACATTTTGTTCTGTTACATGTAAGGTCGCCCTGAGTTGGAGCTGACACAACTGCAGATAATAACAAGAAGCAGAAAAAAATGTAAAAAGTAAAGCAATGGTAGAAAATATCCGTCAGTCAAGGTTAAATCTGGAACATAAATTATTCTTATTTCTTACATTGGAAAAATGACATGATTTTATAATTTTGAGTAATTTAAAATAAACTTTGCCTTGAAGAAATGTACCTTAACAATAAAAGGAAAAGGATAGTTTGTATTTTCCCAGGAGGTGAGAAAAATATCCTTTTGCCTCCAGGGAATTCGTGACACTTATGGCTGGAAATTTATGGCTAACCAGCTCAAATAAGTTGTCCAGACAGAAAATACTCCCATTAGTGTTCTCTGCTAAATGACTTTTTTGTTAAAAATGAAAATGCTGCCTAAGCTTTGGAATAGTACTATTACATTAAGAGAAATACTCTAAATAAACGAAAAAAAAAAAAACGACTATAAGGTACTTGTAATTTTAAAAAGCCTTTTAGTGCTGCCCATTTTTTGTGACCTATCTCAAATGTCACTTGTTCCTCAAATATTTCTTAGACTCAAACTAAATGTGTTCTTTCCCTCCCCTGGAACTTCCTAACATTTTGTTTATACCTCTCATTTTAATCTGCCTTATATTCAGCTTCTTTTTGTTCTTGTCTCATATCTTGCTGTCCTCATTCCTTAACTAATTTTAAATTCTTGAAAGAGGGTCTGTTGTTGTTGTTAGGTGCCATTAAGTTGGTTCCAACTCAGAAGGAAACACTGCCCGGTCCTGCACCATCCTCACAATCATTGTTATGCTTGAGCCCATTGTTGCAGCCACTGTGTCAGTCCATCTTGTTGTAGGTCTTCCTCTTTTTTGCTGACCCTATCTTACCAATTTTTGCATTCCCCCAGTATACCTCACACAGGTGCTCAGTAGCCATAGAAAAAATTACAGAAATGTGATCCGATTTTTGATTAATAAGATAGTGAGCAAAGGAGTTTACATCAATGGCTTAGTAGTTAGGGAGTATCTTCTCTGTGCCTAAGGCACCCTCCGGTTCTCTGGGAGCCTCAGCAAATAAACTCCCCTCTCAGGACAGACACGGGCATGCTTTCGCTCTCTCTGAGTTCTCACTTAATATTATTAAAATGTTAATTGTTAACATGGTACTTTGAAATTTGAGCCTGCAAATGTGGATTTCTATTTCAGCACCTCGAGTGACACAGTTAGAAGGAAATGCATGTGAAATTCTATGGGAGACGGTACCACCAATGAAAGGCGATCCTGTCAACTATATTCTGCAGGTATTGGTTGGAAGAGAATCTGAATACAAACAGGTAAGAGCCAGTGTGCATGCAGATGTGTGGCTTCCCAGAGTCTGCTGGCTCCATGCTTCTGTCCATTGTCATGAGTGACTCAGTGACCAGTGAGCTGCAATTCTCCTAAAACCAATGGTAGAAGCTGCCTAATGTGTTACCTAGTTCTTCAGGGTACATAAGACCTAGTTTCCATTTCATTTTGCATGAGGTGGTATTCATCATAAATGTTCAGTTCTCAGGCAGAGCCTGTTTTATAAAGAGTTAGGTTTTAAGTTCTGTATTTGTATTTTATATTTGAAGTGACGTTTACAAGCATCAGAGTCTGTTTGTAATTGAAAACTAAAATACCGGTGGTTTTTAGTTTCCCAACAGGGATATGGGCTTCAGCAGTTACAGCTGAGACAATGTCCTGCCTGGCTTTTTTATAGAAGTTACAATGCAGTGATAGGTAGGCGACCCATGGGCTCTTGAGGCTTGTGATTCAGAAGCTCTAGGTTACTGCTTGTCACCCTTTAATGTGCGTGTGAATCACCTGGGGATTCTGATTCAGTAAGTCTGAGGGGAGGCCTGAGATCCTGCATTTCTAACAGGCTCCCAGGTGATGCAGGTGCTCCTAGTCCATGGATCAGAATTTGAGTAGTAATGCTATATAGATCACAGATAAATCCGTGCAAGAAAGAATGTAATTGGAATATAGCCTGATAACAAACTTGGTTTTATGATTTTTCACACCCCTTGTGGATGAATTCTGCCGAAGCCCCCCGTTATCCTGTCACTTGCTGTGAAGGACTCAGATGCCCTCTAATTTCCCTGAACCTGATCCTGTTTTAGAGTTAATAACTTTACATAGGTGACTGTTCCATCTTTCCAGCAACTGTTTATGTGAAATCAGTATATAAATAATACTGTTATTCCATTAGGAACGACAAGGCCCATTCCTTACCAGCACTTTTAATCAAAAAAAAAAAAAAAAAACCTGTTGCCATCGAATTGATTCCAACTCATAGCGACACTATAGGACGGAGTAGAACTACGCTTATAGGGTTTCCAAGGCTGTAATCTTTACAGAAGCAGACTGCTACATCTTTCTCCCATGGAGTGGCTGGTGGGTGTGAACCAGTGACCTTTAGGTTAGCAACCAAGCACTTTAACCACTGCAGCAGTAGGGCTTATTGGCACTTTTAATAGGGGCATGTGTTATGTCAAACTCAGAAAGTCTGAAGATAAATGCCACTGTCCTCTGAAGCATTAGCACAATTTGTCAAGTCTTCTTAATTCAGCTATTGAGGCTCCAGGTATACAGACAAGTAGAAAATAATTTGAGCCAGAGTTTTTGTTAAATTACTGACTGGTGTTCCATATGTAGTAATAAAGAATACCTGCAAATAAAAATGCGTAAAAAACATCAAAGTAAAGATTGGTACACTTTGCTGTACTTTGTTAATATGAAGTGTCAGATGAATGAATCATTTTAAACCCATTTTATAAAAATTTTATTTTAAAAATGACATCTGCCAGTATTGATTCCCATCAGTGGAGGATGATGTTGCCAGAGTTTTCACCATTCCTCTTAAATCAGAGTAAAGACACCATAATTTCCTTTCATTGTATAATCTTGTTCTGTACGGTAAGTCCTGTTTTAGAGTAAATAACTTTATGTATGTGACCGTTTCATCTTTCCAGAAAGAGATGATTGATATTAGGATCTCAACTCAGACAGTAGGAGATTTTCCTGACTAGATTTAGTCAACTCTACCACCAGTAGCATTTGTCCTGTTCCATAGCAGTGTAAAAATGATTAAAAGATGAGGTGTTAGGAAATTTCACAGCATATCATTTGACACTTAACAATAATTCATTTCCTAAATAGTACATTCATTGCACGTTCGTCATTGTATTTTAAAAGCTTTTTATTCCTTGTTCCATACATTTCCACCTTTTCTTGGAAAAACCTTCTGCTTCTCAAAGCACAGTGATTGGTGTTGCACATTGAAAAAGCAGCATTATTTGTTCAGTATCTTTACATGTTGGGCATTGCTGGAACATAGGTGAATCCATTCAGTAATTTAGATTTGTTTGGCAGATTAGCTGTTTGAATCTGCTGTTTGTTTAGTGTTTTATATTTAGACCCATGGACATATAAATACTAATAATTTTTAATCATATATATGCCTTGGAATATTTTTGTTGTAAACACTTGTAGACAAACGTTTTCATGGTGAAATCAACAGTACTACAGGGCAGGCTCAGTAAATGGGGTTAGCATTCTTCACATGACCATGTATTTCCTACATTTACCAAGAAATGATTAAAGCGAGTAGCGGCACATGAAGAGCCGCCGTTGAGTCAGGGACAGTTTGTTCTGGGTTTTTTGCTTCTCCCTATTCAGTAAGCATTAACTTCAGCATGATGTTTTGAGTGCTTCTTTCACTTGTTCTGGACATGAGACAGAGGATGAAACCTGTTTATATTGTGTGTGCAGAGTAATGGTTAAAATAATTATAGTCCAGGGATAACAGGCAGTGGCCATGGAATGCATAGAGGCAAAGCAAAAGAAAATGAGGAGTACTCATTTTTGTGCATCTACCATAGCAGAGCTACGCCTCTCGTGGTGCCCTGTGTATACCTCAATTCAAGTGCTCATCAGATAGGCCCCACTAACATGGGCTTTGTTATTCATGGTTCTATTCCCAGGGCTGGCACTTAGTATGCACTCTGTAAACGTTGCTTGAATACTTGAAAGAGACAGTTTTCAAAGTAACAGCGTTTTATCTGCGGTGGTGATAAAAAGTAAACTTCATCTTCGAGTGGGTTTGTAAGTATAACTTTAGGTATAAAAACCACCCATAAAAGGAGTCTGTCCTTCTCCTCCCCAAGCTTATTTTTTACAGGCAACATGTGGCAAGGACAAAGGCGTTTTCTGATTTTTTTTTGCTTAAAACGTTGACCTTAACTTTGCATTGGTTCTAGCTAATAAGCATAATTTCACTCAGTTATATGATGTCGGGGGAAGAGCTGGTTTTTATCATTAAACAGTACATTGACTTAAAGTATTGAATCTTTGCCTAAAATTTTACTCTGCATTAGAATGCATGCATATGTAGATTTACCTTTATTGCCATTTAATAAAACATTTCAACCACGGGCTTTTTTCAGGAAGCTTTCAACTTCTTTTCAAACAGTATTAATTGTATAGCATTTCTGAAAAAGATGAAAATTGTGTATCTATATGCTTCTGAATTGCACAAGATATAGCATAAAGACAATTTAATACATACATAAAAAGAAAGTAAAGCAAAATCAAATTCATGGCCCTGTACAGACAGCAATAATTTTTACAAAAAAAAATCGAATGAAAACATTGAAGATGAGAAAAGTTTCAGCAAACTTCAAGAAATTATTACTTACTGGCAGTTTAATTACTACTATTCTTAGTTATCAGCTTTATTGTGTTAATATTTGAAGCATCTACTGCAAATCTGTAAAGTTCCACATTTAACCTAATGGCATCTCTTTTTAAATATATTGTTATTTTGTATTATTTTTAATGTGATGCAAATATACACAACAAAACATTCACCACTTCAATAGTTTCTACATGCACAATTCAGCAGTATTGACTACACTCTTCATGTTGTACAGCCCTTATTCTTATCTTTTTCCTGTTTATTCTACCACTGTTCATGTAAATGCATTGCCTCCCAAGCAAAAAATCCCCCTTCTCTCTCCTCCTAGTAACCACTAATAAGCTATGATTTCTATATATTTGCTTATTTCATATAAGTGAGGTCATACAGTATTTGTCCTTTGGTGACTGACTTATTTCACTCAGCATAATGTTTTCAAGGTTCAACCATGTTGTATCATGTACCAGGACTTCATTTGTCTTTATGGCTGAGTAATATTCCACTGTATGTATGTACCATAGTTTGTTTATCCATTCATCAGCTGATGGACATTTAGGTGGTTCCCACCTTTTGGCTATTGTGAAAAGGGCTGCAGTGAACCTTGGTGTACAGGTTTCTGTTTGCATTCCCGTATACTGTGTCATTTTTAGAATGTATAAGGTAATTGTTTTTCAAATCCATGTATTAACTCTTAATGGGATCACATAAGGTACCATGAGAAAAGATCCTCTTGACAGAGCTGTTTCAAAGTCTTTGAGTCTTGGAGCCTCTGTGTTTTTTAATGAACTTCCACTCTGTTCTCTAATGCAGCGATTTAAACAATAAGGCTGTGATTGTCTCATTGCATGGTTTTTAATTTTTCTATGAAGAAAAGGTCAGATTCAAAGCAAAATAAGGATGGAGCAAGAAGGAGATATATTAAAGTCAGAAAGATATTTAAAAGTCATCATTTATTTTACTGATCTTAATTTGCTTAGGTTTACAGATCCCTGTAAGTATTTGATGAAGGCCATGACACCATACCCCAGAAAAATGCTCACACATACCCAGCCAAACAACTGCTGTCCAGGTGATTCCGACTCATAGCGACCCTATTGGACAGACTAGAACTGCCCCATGTGGTTTCCAAGGCTGTAAATCTTTGCGGAACCAGACTGCCACATCTTTTTGTCATGGAGTGGCTAGTGGGTTCAAACCGCTGACCGTTTGGTTAGCAGCCAAGTGTTTACCCACTGCACCACCAGGACTCCTTCTCATATATACATCCTCTTAAATTTTTATATACAATAAAGTGTGTATTCAGTTTCATGGAGTCTGGTATAGGACCCCTGGTGTATTGAGAAACTGTTAAGTGCTTTGTACTGTGAGGGCTGCCGCTGTCATAGCATACAAGGTAGCATAGTCAGTGTTCTCTGTTTCCTTAGGCCCACTGTAGTGAAAAACACATACCCGCAAAAAGCAGTTCGGTAACAGTAGCCGTGGCCTTTCCTCTCCTACTCGAGAATACAGATGCCTGCCCAGCGTCTTGCCTTCAACAGAGGAGGGCTGCGGGTTAGTGGGTTCTGTCTAGAGCTGGAGGGTGGCTTGTGGGGGAGGGTGGTCAAGTCTGCC